TCACCAGTCGCTCCCAGGTTTGCTAAGGGTCAGAACCGACTCCATGACACTTAACAACAACAACCCTTCCCCAAAGCTTGCTGCACACTTTGATTTATGCCACCTCAAAATGGGACTCATGGCATCCTTGAGGAACTCAAATCATATTTCTTCTCAAAGCTCTGAGTGTTGGAACAAAAAGTTAGAAGGATTGTAGGGTAGATGGGGTAAGGCTTCCAAATGAAATTCTTGTGGAATCGGCCTTGCTGCCTTCAGAGAAGGAGCAGGTGTATCACTGTGACGGACAAACATCCCTCAATGTGATTTTTCTGGCTTTTTCCTCACCAATGCAGTCTTCACATTTTTAAAAACTTCGTTCTAATTACTCCCTATGACCATCCTGTGTCCTGCAAGAACATCTGTAAGATAACCTGCTGGGTCATCCAAAAACCAGTCACCACAACGTTCTGTGATGACCTCTCGGCCTTGAATTTCACTGACCCAGCAAAGTCCCTCAGAAGCCTCTTAGAAGGAAGATGAAGAGAAAGAATAGAGAGTAGTAACGAAAGACCAAAAGGAAACAAAGAGACGGGAAATGAGAACTAAAAGGAAAAAAAGCAGAGATAAAATACATAAAGTTCAAGAGAAGAGAAAGAAAAGAATCGAAAAGGAACAAGGAAACAATGAAAGGAAAAACAAATCCAAACAAAAAACCCCAAACAGTTCAGCTGTAGGACCCAGAAAAAACTCTGGGGGGCTCCTGCTGACGTGGTGGGTGCAGGAGAAGTGTGACAGCAGAGTCCCTGGCCCTAGGTACACTTTCTATAGGCCTAGGTGCTATGTTGAGGGCACCCAGTCAGGAAGTGGTTCATGGAGGCTCCCATGGAGCAGGTTTCAGTGTCTATCAGGACCACTGGGCGGCTGGAGTCAGCAGGATGGCTGCTCACGAGGGTTTCCACTAGACTAAGTCTAGGGGTGGCGCTGTGGGTTAATGCGCCAGACTTCAAAGATGTTCGAACTGCAAGGTCGGCGGTTCTAGCTCATCAGCTGCTCCTTGGAAACCCTATACAGGGTCACTATGGGTCAGAATCGACTTGATGGCACTTCACGACAACAATGCTGGTCTGGGGGTTCTGTGGGCTCTGTTGGTCAGGAGCTGAACCCACCCAAATACACGCACAAAAAGGTTGCAGCAGCCCCCACCGCAGCGTGGCTCACAACCACATGGCTCTCAACTCCTGGAGAGCAGGGTCTGCTCTGGGAGTGGATGAGCGTGGGGATAGAGAATTGCACCTTTCCTGTCGTCTATGTGAATCTGCTCTGCCAGGCTACCTTCTGTGGCTAGAGATGCTCCTGCTGGTCCTGGCCAGCTGTTCCCCAGTCTCCCTCTCACGGACCCTGCTCAGCATCTCGCCAGCAAGCACTCAATTCACTTCTCCAACTTTGTTTCAGGGTTGTTGTCTGTGTTGGTTTCACTTGGTCTCTTGACATATCTTTGTTGTAGAGGGTCCGTGCAATGTGTCTGCCTAGTCTGCAATCGTGCCAGAGTCCCTGATCCCCTGATGCATTCTCCATCTGCTTTTACGTTGTCATTTTTCACAAGCAGATGATCTCACCTCCCTGGAATTATTCCTCTTGTCGTATGGGATGTCTGTTGTTACAAGCTGTCGAGTTGGTTCTGACTCACAGGGACCCTACACAGGGTGTCTGAGGTTTCAAATCTTGTTGGAAACAGAATGCCTCATCTTTTTCTCACGAGCGGCTGGCAGGTTGGAACCGTGGACTTTGTGGTTTGCAGTCCAGTGCTTATCATATGGAGTCACTGCACTCCCCAGATTGGATGTACGAGTTGCATTTTGTTCTCCACCCCCTTAAAAATGGCAAGCCTACATTTCCCGTATCAGTTATCACAATACCCAAGTTTTTGCCTTGAAAATTACAGAAATTCCTGAGGCCTTTGTCAGGATCCACTGAGAGAAAAACACCAAGTCTTTTATCTGGTATGATGATAAAGTATAAAAGACTGTTTGGTAGAATGCGACTAGTCCTGTTTGCTCACAGCTGATTCTGTGCAGTGGAGCTAGGGTCATTCTAAGTCATCACGGCTGACAGAGAGCTGAACACTGCTAAGCTTGATGGCACTGTCAGTTTCTGCCTGCCTTGCCGAATTCTTTGAGGTGGTTCTAAGTAACAGGAGCCTGTCCAGTTCTTGAAGGAACATTAACCTGACGTTAATTTATGCTGGCCTGCGGCCCGCTTTCAGAATAATTTTACTGACAGGTATTTTTTAAATTCTTTCAGCCCTGTAAGATATATGTCATTTTCCTGCCTTTTCCTGAAATCATTTTAGCAATCTCTGTTTTCTAATAAAATGTTATTTTCTATTGATTTTCAAAACATACTTACAATTTATAGCTCTATAAATATTATTATGTATTTAAAAAATAAAGATTTTTCCTCCTTGATGCTTTCTTTTCTATTAAACATGCACAATGACAGTTTATTCATTGGGTTTTCTGTTTCTAACTAATTTGCCCTTCTATTTTTACTGCACCTCCTTTGATGCAGGTCCATAGTTTCTGTGTAGACTCTGAAGTGAAGGAGCCATTACACAGTTTCTTCTTGGGAGTCTGGGGCTGAATACTCCATTGGAGTTTCTTCCTAGACTGGGGAGTCGAACGCTCCATTCCATAGTGTCTCTCTAGGTTCTGGACTGATTGTTCCATTCTGTAATTTCTTCTAGATTCTGGAGCTGAACGCCCCATTCCTTAGTATCACCTTGTTGTTTGATGCTGTCGATTCGGCTCCAACCCACAGTTATTCTGGAATTGAATATTTCATTCCCTGGTTTCTTCCTAGATTCTAAAATTAAAAGCTTCATTGTTTTGTGTTTTATTTTTTGTAACCAACGAAGGCAAGCAGGGTTTTTCATTGTTCTTAGAATAAAATGTTTACTGCAGCTGGTAACTGCTGGGTAAAAAGGGTGCTCATTGTCCTGACTTCCTTCGGATGTTTTAGAATGCAGACGTGTCTGAAAGGCTACAAGCTGCATTCCCCACACCCTCCATTCGGAACTCTGGGTGTACCTCAGTGATCTACAGGTGATAGACCAGCCTGGGCTTTCTCTCCCTTGGAAGAAAAGCTCTATCGTGTTCTGCCTGAATGCCCTCTTCTTTCATCTCGATCCTTTTCCTTTGAGAACTGAGGAAAATTCTGAGCTATCTTCTTACCCTGCCTGCTCTTTAGTGCCTTTGTTTTATTTTAAAGTCTGGCAAGCTTTCCCAGATGCCAGATTGCTGGCTACACTAGTTTCACAGATGTCAGGTACAGGTGAGAATAGCAATGAAAGGTTTAGAGACTTTCCCCTGTCTCATAGGTGCCCATCTGCTCAGAAAGCTCAGCTAGGTCTCCTCTGACCTTCGATGTCTTTCCAATCGCAAAGGTTGCCTCTGGTCTTTTTCCTTAGAGAGAGGCAGGCCTCTTTTCTAGAGATGAGCCAAGAAGGGCTTTGTAAGTCCCTGTCCAGCTGTCCTGCTGCCAGCATGCAGGCTGAATTCTGCAGATCATAGGATTGGCTGTGGAGGGTGGTGGGAGCCGTGCTCAGCCCTGGTGTCCAGCAAACCTCTCAGGATGCTCGCGGAGCCAATGAGCTACTCTCCTTGAGCACCCTTCCCCCACCTGACAATAGCTCCTCTGAGGTCACTGGCAAGGAAATCCAGCTTGAGGCTGGCAGGTGTGCCTCTAGCCCGGCCTTGTCTGTGTGCATCCCCAACAGTCTTCCCAGCTTCTCCAAGGAGCCAAGCTCGGTCCTCCACTCATGCAGTCCCTTTGCAGGCCTTAAGGGTAGGCCTACAGGGGGCCAGGAAGGGTGAGAGATTAAACCTGTGCTCAGGTGACCGCCTGCAATCAGAAGCCCAAAGAAGTGACTACACTTTCCAGGGAGCCAATTTAGTGACACGCCATGCCCTCCTTTCCCACCAAGCCTGGGCCTCCTCACAGTCTAGCTGGTCTGCTCTGCACGTCCCTGGGATCCACAGCTATGGAGCCAGCAATGTGGCCATTTGCACTGGTCCAGTGAAGGAGCTCCGCTGTCCACATGACAGTCCTCTGACCAGGCTCCAAAGGTCTTACCTCTCCTTCCAGGTGGAGCCAACTGCCTCTCCATGTTTTACCACATGGTTCTGTGTTGATGTTCCTTTATTTCTTTCTGCTTTTACGACACTGCCTGTATAAAGGTGGGCCTATCTCCCCAATGAGGAACTGAAGAACAGACCACAAACCACAAGATTACGAAAGGCTGGTGCATACAGTGCCACTGCCTGGGACAAATGTGTGAGTGTCCGTCTAACCAACAAAGATGGCTCACGTCCCTGGTGCCACACACAGTCTGTACGTAGAGAACTGCAAGAAGTTGGGGGGCGGGGGTGTAGAGCATTATTTGAAATGCTCTAAACGATCCCACTGCATCACTGCACATGTGCACACGGAGCAGGCAGAGCCTCTATCAAGGTGACCTCGGTGCCAAATGCGGAGTTGTACATCATAAGCTAGTGCAGTTCAGGCCCTTAAGGCGCGCACAGTCTCTCCTGTCAGCTGACCCATGGCCGCGCAGTCTCAGGTGAGTGGGGAACGGGAGAGGTGCACACTGTTACCTTTCACGAGTTTGCCATCAGGGATGGCCTTGCCTGATGCCGCCTCCTTCTTCCCTGGGGCTCCCCTTCCTCCTCCTTCAGCCGACTCCTCACAGGCCCCATCATCCACGGCCTCCCTCGGGCTCTCTGAGGTAGACTCAGTGGGAGCCTCTTCTGGTGCCGTGGCCTGCAGAGACTGGACAGGGCAGTGAGTCAGTATGTGAACATATTGAGAGATGTACACATGCATGATCCTGGGCAAGAGCGTTTCTACAGGAGGGCGAGCCGTTCCCAGTGGGCACCAAGGAGAGTGAGAAGACAAAGGCAGCCCCCGGGAGAGCGCTGACAGACAGCCCTGTGATGCCTTTCCTCCACATACGGACGGCTCAGGAGGCTTCTAGAATGGCACATCTGCCTCCGAGGCCTCTCCATGGGAGTCTCTGGGTTCAGCATTGGGGACAGAGGTCTGAGGGAATCTACTTCATCTCTCTAGCAATGCAGGTTTTAGAAACCACTGAGGTAAGGCCATGCCTTGGGAGCTGTGGGTGGGCGTCTGCAAGGAGGGACACGTCCCTGGGAGAGAAGCAGTTGTGAGACGCACTCACAGTCTGGTTTTCATCAGGACACCAGGAAGAGCAGCACCCCCCAAACACCGACATGTGAGCACTGTGAACACGGTGAGTCAGACATGCGAGTCACACCGGCTGGTTCATAGCTACCTGTGTGCAGTCGCCGCCTTCCTTATGGAGGAAGAACTGCTTCTTAAACTCATAGTAGGCATTATACTGGTGCCAGGGTTGCAGGAACTCAAACCTAGGGACAAGAGGAGACGTGGGGTCATTTAGCATGGCCGATGCCACGACGGTGAGTGACACCTCCCAGGGCTGCCCTGGAGCCCGACACGGTCTTCAACGCCTCAGTCACTCCGGCTTTGTGACCTCCACAGCTACTTCCTGTTTTACACAAAACAGACACTGCGCTGGGGAGAGGGTCATCCTACAAACAACCCTCCTTACTTATTCTCTGTTTCACCACTTGAGGCATGGAACGTTATTGGATGAAATACAAAAGTTAAGGGGGGAGGCTAAGAGAGAGCAGTGTCTACATTCCAGGGCAGAGTCTTGAAAAGCATGACTTTAACATATTTATTTTAAGTAGAACTTCAGCATTTTTGCATATTAAACAGAAACTAACTGAACAAATAGTAACATATTGGAAAACCCGTCCAGATTCTAAGCTATCTGCCAAGATAACTGTAAGATGTCTTTGTCTAAAGACATTTGAACCAAGAGGCAATGACGTAGCTCAGTCAAAGCTCAGACTCTACCCCGCACATGCAGTTAGTTCTTCATCTCACCTCTGGTCATTCTTGGCACGCACGCTTGTCTCAAACTTCACACCGTTCCGAGCCACGTACTCGGCAAGCTTGTCGATCACAGGCTGGATGTCTGGGGGCGGGGGGATGATGGCAGCCACGGGGGCGAGGGCACTATGGGGAGAAGGGGTTGGGGTCACTCTCCTGAGTGGACCAACTGGCTCGAGGCTGCACTCGCCCAGGGCTGGCCACACTGTCGGCAGGGTAGCTCTTCATCGTCTCAGAGGTCGGAATCAATAGGTTGGTATTATAACATGACTGGTACTAAAATGGCAGCTCCACCCAACCCAACTGAGACAGGTACCAACTATCACCGGGACACGGTGAAAAGGACGATTTTATTGAAAAATGAGCAGACACTCCCAAAATTAGGCTCCTTTTCCTCCTACTCAGCAGATCCCCCAATTACACGTTAACAAACCAAGCCTTGATTTTTATGTCATGTTAAAAACAGTGGCTTAACAGGATTCAAGCCTCTAGGCTTCCCATGTGCCATTCTGTGTGAGCAGCAGGCGGCTGCTTCTGTAGGCATCCACCAGCGCCTCTGAAACGCGCGTTTCTCGTGCCTGTCCACCTGACAGGTCCACTCTGCACACCAACAGCCTCCCGGGCCCAGGTCTGTCCCTCTTTCTCAGCGCTTAGCTGACTGTCAAAGGCTTGTGAGAGGGTCAGACGCTGACCTGGGCAGGACCAGATGCCAGAGCTGGGATGCCACACGAGAGCCCGCCGTGATTGCTCAAGTGTCTGCATGTGATCATTTCTGCCTCCCTGGCACCTCTGTTGTGGGGAGTTGCTATGGAGAATCCGCAGTGCCCCAAGAGAGGCAAGCCTTGTGGTGCACGCACCTTGTTGTGGTGGTCGTAGAGGTCACCCCGCTGCTTGTCTCTGTGCTGGATGGGGGTGGTGGGGGAGTGGTCCCGGGAGGGGGCGGGGCGGTACTTGTCACACCAGTGGAGCTGGACACGGTTACGCCAGCAGGCAGGGTGCTGTAGTAAGTGGCCACGTCGATTCCGGGAGGGGGCGGTGCCAGGCAGTAGGTGCCATCGGGAAGCATGTAGTAGCTGTAGTACATGGCGGCCACGGTGGCTGTTAGGAGAGAGAGAGACATCAGCAACGGGTCAAGCTGCAGTGAGCAGGAGCCCCCACGCCAGACGCACTGTCACTACTGCCAGCACCTCATGCCGCATGGCTGCTTTCCCCAGACCCGGCGGCTGCCCACACCCCGTCCTGCCACATCCTACATTTTCTTCACAGTAGACGAGCAGCCTGTGCCCTGTCCCACCGTTTCCTACACTTGTTTCAGGACCACAGTGGCTGACCACGCAACACGTGTAAAAAGACCCAGGCAATGTGAAAGCACACACCAGGGATGAATGGATGTGAACAGCCTCACAGACATTCACCCTCCTGAACCCACAAGTCACCAGCTGCTATCTTTCCTCCTCAAGCTGCCAGGATACTCGGCGATGGCGGAAGGCTGCATGTGGGAGGCACCTAGCCATCTTCACTGAGATGTTCACTTTGGAGATGGTCCCCTTCCACACATGGCTGTCCTGCGATTCGTGGAGCACCACACCCCTGGATGGAGGGACACTGTTCCAAGTGGCTAAGCCCACTCGACACTGGTGCACAGTGGGCCGCTGGCCCACTGTCCTAATGGTCAGGAGCCCTGGAAGTCTGCTGATTTTGGAAAAATGTTTACAGGCAGCACAAGTAACAGATGATCCAGTGAGCCAATGGAGCAGCTTTCTGGCCTGTTCTGGTCATCCCAGGGAAGAGAAACCGGTTCCGACCGCACAGGCACTTCGCTCTGTCTTCTGTTATCGACAGTAAGGAGCTGCTTCTGCTGATGGAGTGTTCTTTAATCTGAACCCACTGGCTTCACTGGTAAGGTACTTGTGTACTAGGCAGGGAGACGGTCCCAGCGGCGGCCAGACTCACATCTTCTGACTTGGTGTGGGAAGTGCCTGTGTGACAGGGCTCAGCAGGGCCTCAGCTCACGGCGCTGACGTTACAGCAAATGCAGCATCTTCAACTTTCAGTAGCAGATCCAGCTTCCGAGCACTTGGAACGCTCATCTTTGGCACAGGAACATTCAGACAACATCTCTGAAGAGTAGCCAGCGTGAGATGATACTGTCTAAGGGAGGCAACAGTGGCCGCTGGGCATGGCTTCCCTGGCTCCGGCACTGAACACACAGTATGCATCACAGGTGTCTAGCCGCCATGTTTCTTCACAGCAAAGATGGCAAGACCAGACGTGTCACCAGGAGACCAATCACCAGAAGTGGACATCACCACAGTAAAGCAGAGGGTCAGCGAAAACAAGGGACGCCTCCCCAAGATGGAGTGGCTGCAAGGACGGGTTCACACACAACAACAAAACCCACAACCACAACGGGCTCACACACAACAACCATCACAACAACAACAACGGGCTCACACACAACCACAACCACAACGGGCTCACACACAACAACCATCACAACCACCACAACGGGCTCACACACAGGAACAAATGTAAGGAGGGTGCAGGACCGGGGTTGCTAGGCGCCACCACCACATGCGCACTGGTACCACAGCTCCAATGTCGGCTGGACCCGTGGTGACAACGACGCTGCACCAGCTTCGCTCCTACCTGCTCTGGGTTCTTCCTTCCAGCAGTGGCACTTCTTTGTTTCTCCTTTTTTTAAGTTTTTTTGGAATTGAGTGCTAGTTTACATGGGTGAACATAGGTTTTACATTCACTGTTTCATTGAAGAGATTACAATCTCCGTGCATCATCATTCAACAACATTTGCTTCTATTCCATTTATTTTGGGGGGGGGGGGTTAAGAGGAAAGCGGAAGATGTACACAAAAACACTCAGGAATGTATAATAATTTAAACAACCGAAGGGCACATTCTGCAAGCCTGTCTGACCACCAGCACACAGCCTTTCTCTTTCCATGAGTCTAAAGTCCTCAGCTGCTCTCTCTCTCTCCATGCCCTCATCTCTGGTACCACTGCTTCTCTGTTGAGTCGGTTCCAACCCACAGTGACCCTGTACAGGGTTTCCAAGGAGTAGCTGGTGAGCTTGAACTACCGACCTTGCAGTTCAAACGACTTTGCAGTCTGATGCATTAGCCCACAGTGCCACACCAGGCCTCCTCGGGATAGGGTCTCCCATTCCGCTCATGCTCTTCTCCCTTGATATTCCTAGGGTCCTGTACTGGAATTTAAGATTTAACTACACTCCCTGCTTTTTGTTACAAAACTTCTACCTTTATAGTTGTAACAGTCACAATTAGTTATCATAACAATTATTCATTAATGAATCATAAGAATCTTATCTCTAGCTTCTCATCTCAAAAGACCCATCTAGACAAGATGAAAATCATTCAGTGGGGATTCTACCGTCACCAGCACACTCTGAAACTACACTTCCTCTTGGAAACTTCTAAGACAGTCACCCCCCACCCCCCACCCCATTTTAGGTATTAGGTAGCCAATGTCTAAATTACCTGTTCCTATCAACCCTGTATAAGGAGCTCTGATAACGTAGCGGTTATGAATCAGGCTGCGAACCGCAAGGTCAGCAGTTTGAAACTACCAGCTGTTGCGCAGGAGAAAGATGAGACTTTCTGCTCCCACAAAGATTTACAGCCTCGGAAACCCTGTACTGGGTCTCTGTAAGTCGGAACCGACTCTACGGCACAAAACCACCAACCAGCAACCCTGTATACAGAGCGGAAGAGGTTGATCCTTAATGTGAAGACTCCTCTCTCAGTTGGTATTTTGAGCTACTAAATTCATAATGTAGTAGCTCACATAATGACATATTGTCAGGAGGGACCAGTCGCTGGAGAAGGATATCATGTTTAGTAAAGTGGAAGGTCAGAGAAAAAGAGGAAGACCCCTGACGAGATGGACTGGCCAAGTGACAGCATCAATGGGTTCAAGCATGGCAACAGTAGTGAGGCTGGCCCAGGATCAGGCAGTGTTTCATTCTGCTGTGCCTGAGGTCGCTATGAATTGGCACCGACTTGATGGCACCTAACAACACCACATCCATGATAGGTCAAGTTCATCAAATTGTAGCAATTTACACTTGTTTCCTTCATCAAAAAAAATTTTTTTTATCTTCCTTTAGTCAATTTCTGATCATCAAGCCATCGAGGCTAGGTCAAATGAGTACAATCTGCAAGTTTGGGTGTTCTTGTGTGTCTCCCCTCACTTCATATGAGCTGGATGCCTCACTCTCAGCTCTAGCCCTCTGTGGCTATGTCCTTGTCCATGGGCTCAGGAGTCCCCAGGTCTCACCACACTTTGGACTAACCAGCCCTTCCTCGTCTCTCTCTCTCATCTCCAGGTCAACGGGAGTCTATGGAACGTGGTTGAACTCATCCCATTTCTTCATTGCTGCCTTTCCCCTTCTTCCACTCACCAGATGACCAACGTGGTTGCCAGTAAGCTTACAAGTCTGTTCATGTGTTCTCTTTGAGTTTCAGTCTTGGAGGAGGTTTGTCCTGAAGGGCCCTGATTGCTTGCCTTGATGGCTCCCTGGAGAACAACTTGCTTATTCTTGTAGCAGCCAGTTATGCTGACATTTTTGTTTTGGATTTTTCCTGCTGGTCTTTCTTTCAAGAAGTATTTTTCTTCTGTTTCTCGAGCTGTTCCAGGCTGGTCTGCTTATCCTTTCAAGTGGGAATGTCTCACCTCAGAAGTTTCTGGATGGGGCTCAGGATTCCACCTCAGATCCTAGATACTACAAAGCCTCCACAAGAAGCCTATTTCATTGGGCAAGTTCTAGAAACTCTTTTAGATACTCCAATCAGGTGTAGGCTGGACTTACATGCGTTCTATAATCACGTTTCCAGATATTCCTTTCTATACCACTCAAGTGTCTATTTTACAATTGTAGGCAAGGGAAACCAACATTCCTAAGACAGTCAAGCATCGTAACATTATTTCTCACTTTTACCCATTCAGACTCTGCCTCAATCCCTGTATCACAGAACCCTGTTGTTCAAACGTTGAGTATACATCGGTCTTTACCTCTGTCCATTTATAGCCCATGCAAACCTGCCTGCGTTCCCTTATCTACCTTGTTCTTCCATATCCCTCCCCCTTCGTGTGTATCGCCCTCCCCTAAACACCCTTACTATGATGTGTCTATCCCCTACCCTGTGCTCTACAGTGCCTCCCCGCCCACAATCAACAAAGAATCCCCCGCTCCCCTTTTAGTATGGATAGCTTTTCTTAAGCTTTGACAATAATGGTCTTATGCAATATTTGTCCTCTTGTGACTGACAATTTCACTCAGCATAATGTCCTCCCAGTTCATCCACGTTACGCAGTGGCTTGCAGCTTCCGTGTTATTCTTCAAGGTAGCGTATATTCCATTGTGTGTATGTACCAGAGTTTGTTTATCCATTCTTCCATTAATGGGCTCTCAGGCTGTGTCCATCTTTTTGCTCTTGTGACTAGTGCTGTGCTGAACACTGGTGTGCGTGGATCTGCTCATTCTTCTTGTGAATATAGACCAAGTAGTGGAATTCCCAGGAGCCAACAGAGCTGCCTTGCTTTTAGACCGTCCTCTGTTCCCACAGACGGCACCTTACATGCAGCCCCTGTGTCCTGGCGGAACCAGACAGCATGCTGACTACCATTGCTGGGCCCAAATAAAACCCCACATATAATCCTCTCATAGGAGACAGTCTCCTGCTCCAAAAGTCTATTTGGAAATTGCAGCCCCGACAACGAATATAAGGGAAGTCACAGAGACAGACAAGTGCTAGCATGCACTTTCAGCTTGTGCCAGGCATACTCTTTGTGCAACTGAAGAGAACGGGCCATTTCCAAGCTGGCCCCACATCTGTGAAAGGACTCATCTTCAGTCCAGGGCCAGCCTGCGCGTTCCTGCAAGCGGCTGTCATAGCAGGGAGAAGACACACCAGAGGCAGCCAGGTGCAGACAGGTACGTGAGCGTGCCCACCAACGCAGAATGAAATTGTCACAACAAACAGTTGAGCCTGAACAAGAAAAGCAGTCTTCAGGTGTACACATAAAAGGTCTCTGGGAAAGCCCACACTGCAGGCCACAGCC